ATTTTAAAATACAATTTGAATTGAATTTGTACAATCTGAATTCATCATCCTGGTCAGGATGAAGAATGTAATCATCGGTCCCCAAAGCTTCTCCATGCCTCTTTGTAATCCCTCCTCCTCCCTGCCTCATTCCCTGGTTCCCCATTCTCTTGAGCTACTAATCTGCTAGGTTAGTAATCAGCATAGGTTTTTATTTCTAGACATTTAATCCCTGTAAATAAAGGTTGTTACCTCCCAAAGTCTGAGAAAGATTTCTGCAAGTCATGACCCGGATCATGCCTCTGACTAATATTTCTACAAGTAATCACCATGGTCTCCCAGAACCTATAGTATTATCTATGCCTACTCGTGATTGCCAAAAACTACACAATCCTGAACACGCAGCATATGCTACTGCTATTCTGATTAAAATCAATGTGATTAAAATCTGAATTCAAACAAGGTGGCCAACGAGGTTAAAACACAACCCTCTAATTATAATCGATATAATCTATAATCTATATAATCTGTAATTTAACTTTGCTTCTTCTTATCCCTTTTAAGAATGCTGTGCCCCAAATCTTCCAGCAGCCTTAACTGATCCCTGTGTACATGTCTGCAAATAAAGGTTTCCGAAGTGTTCAATTCAGTTACTGTTTTTTTTTTTTCTTTTAACAGGGTGAAACCTACAATGGATGAAGTTAAAAAAAAAAAAAGAAAAAAGAAAAGAAATCATGGGTGCCTGGGTGGCTCAGATGGTTAACAGTCTGCCTTCATTTGGGTCGTGATCCCAGGCTCCTGGGATTGAGTCCCACATCAGGCTCCCTGCTCAGTGGGGAACCTGCTTCTCCCTCTGCCTCTCTCTCTCTCTGTGTTTCTCATGAATAAATAGATAAAATATTTTTTTAAAAAATGAAACAAACCAAAATCTTGACCACAGAAGATAGTAAGGATATTTCCTGGCCTTGGTCTTAGCTTGAGGTAGAAAAAAGGAAAAAAGGTATTCCCTCAGAATTCTTCACTAGCCCAGAATCTCTCAGGCTGGAGACCTGAATTCATTCTGTGTGTGGCTCAAAAATTTCTAAGCTAAAATCCAGGCAAACATGAAAATAAAGTTGGCACAGATTCAGCGATACTAGGTGACACAGATGTTAGGATGTTACTAAATAATGCCAAATATGAATAAAGATAGTTTAAAACTTGCAGACACCTAATAAATTAACTTGAAAAAGTATAAAATAAAAACTGAAAAACTACATGAAAAACAGGCTAATTTTACTATCAAAATGGGAGATTGCTAGATTACCCTGACCCCACCCTCAAGAAAACACAAGTATCTGAATAACTTAATTAACTAATTTGCTCTAGTGACTTTGTATATAAACCTACACCCAATTAAGTATCATGCTAGGAGTACCTGGCTGGCTCAGTTGGTAGAATGTGTGACTCCTAATCTTGGGGTTGAGTTTGAACCCCATGTTGGGTGTAGAGATTACTTAAAAATAAAATCTTCCAAATGAAAACCTACTATGCTATTCAGAGATATACATTTATAATAATAAATTTATAATAACAAATAGTAAATTTATAATAAATTTATAATAACTGAGAATATGATAGGACAAAAAGTCTCAACTAATGCAAAAGAATGTTACATAAACCACAATCTTTTATTATAATGGAAATATGTTAGAAAATAATAGGTTTTTAAAAATATTCATGTGGAAATTTAAAAATACATTTCTAAATAAATTTGGGTAAGAAGAAAATGTGGGGGCTTAAAAAAACAGTACTGAATAATAGACATTCAACTTAAAATCTTGGGATGTAAAGAATGACTTAAAAGGAAATATATGGTATTAAATGATTATTTTATTAAAAAAATAGCTAAAAAATTAATAAATTCTACAACTACTTAGAGATTATGTTGGGGGGGGAGAAGAAAACCAAACAATATAAAGATGAGAACAAAATATAGAGATGAGAACAATATAAAGATGAGAACAATATCAAGCAGAATAGGGATGCCTGGGTGGCTCAGTGGGTTAAGCATCTGCCTTCAGGTCATGATCCCAGGGTCCTGGGATCGAGTCCCACATCAGGCTCCTCGCTCAGCAGGTAGCCTGCTTCTTCTGTCTGCTGTTCCCCCTCTTGTGCTCTCTGACAAATAAATTAAAAGAATAAGGATACAACAGAGATGACTAACACAGTTCAAAAATCAGAACTTCAAATGGAGGAACGACATACTTGAAACTAATGTAATGCTATGTCAACTAAAAAAAATTTTTTTGAGAAATTAAATGACAATTACTTTCAAGATTAAGAAAAAAGTAAAAAGTAAACTATAAACTATATTCACAATGAAAAAGAACTATAGATGGAGCAAGCATAATTCAAGCTAAGATAAAAAACAACTTTGGGGTGCCTGGGTGGCTCAGTCAGCTAAGTGTCTGCCTTCAACTCAGGTCATGATCCCAGGATCCTGGAGTGGAGGCCCGTATTTGGCTCTCTGCTCAGCAGGGAGCATGCTTCTCCCTCTCCCTCTGCCTTTGCCTGCCTTTCCCCCTGCTTGTGCTCTCTCTTGTCAAATAAATATATAAAATCTTAAAAAAAAAAAAAAGATAAACAACTCTATTCCAACAAATGTAAAAAATTAAGTTACAACAATATTCCTAGAAAAGAATCAATAACCAAAACTGACTCTAGAACAGAAAATCTGAATAGTTCCACAAGTACTGAAGAACTGAATCAGCATTTTAGATTTTTTCCGACATAGAAAACACAGGCCCAAAATGGCTTCATAAGCTAGTGTGACCAAAGATTTAAGCAATGAATAATAACCATTTTACAGAAATGCTCAGAGAACTAAAAAAGAAGAAATACACCTACTATTCATTTTAGTAGTCTCATATATTCAAAAGCAGATACAATAGTAAATTCCAGCACAATTTCATTCCTAACCACAGACGCAAAAATCCTAATGGAAATAGTGCAGCAATGTGCAAAAAAAAAAAAAATCATGATCGAATTAAGTTTAATCCAAGAATTCAAGATTGGTTTGACATTATGAAATCTATTAATGTAATTTACCACATTAAGGGATTCAAGGAGAAAAAAAATGTATAATACACAATTATTTCAGTTAATGCAGATAATACATCTGATAAAATTCAATCCCAATGCCATTCATGATAAAAATATTTAGCAAAATAAGAATGAAAGGGGTTACTTCCTTAACCTGAAAGATTACCTTCAAAAAATTACAACACACATTATATTCAATGGCGAAATATTAAAAGCAATTTCTTAAATATCAGGAGGAAAAAATGATAGCTATTATTACTTCTTTATTAAACACAATGGAGGTTTTAGTAGATATAGTAGGATTGGAAAAAGGGGAAAAAGAAAACTGCCTTTATCCAGAATGATTATTATCACCATACAGAAAATCCAGAAATAAAAATCAACATAGTATTAGAATCTGGGATTCATATTATTAAAATTATATATATTTATGGAGGACATAAAGACAGTAGAAAGCTCTACATAAAGTATTTAAAATATTTAATAAGTTTATATTTAGGTGGTGAGTTTATGAGTGATTTTGTTTCAGTCTTTCAGTTTTCCCAGTGTTATGCACTGGATTCTTTTACTAAAAAATAAGGCAGTAACATTATACAATATCAAATAAATACATTAAAAAATCAATTCTATGTATACATACTAGCAACAACAGAAAATGCAGTTTAACATACTTAAAAGCAATACAAAATGTAAGAGTATCTAGGAATAGACCAAAGATTTATAATACCTTACTCAAGAAAATTGTAAAAATTGAAAGAAAAAAGAATTTAATATATAGAAAGATATACCATGTCAATGATTAAAAAGGTTAGATGTCATAAAGATCTACTTCTTTAAAAATTAATCAACAGATATGATATGACTCCCATCAAAATCCTCAGATTTTTTTGTGGGATTTGACAAGCCAGTCCTAAAATTCAAAGAAAAGAAAAGGGATACAAATAGGGAAGACACCTCTAAAGAAGAAGAAATATGTAAAGGAAATTGTTCTACTAGAAAACAAGATTTATTATTAAGCTTTAATAATTGAGCTAGTGTAGTATTTGTGCTGGGACAGACATGGGGAACAAAGAGAAAACTCAGAAGCAGATCCCCTGATAACCTGAGCTAGGACAGGTTGTATACAAGTCAGTAGGTAATGGAAGGCCTATTAACAGTAGGATAGTTTTCTTTATGGGGGAAAAATAAAAACTTATCCTTACCTAATACTATATCCTAAAATAAATTTTAGATGGACTTTACTAGAACAGAGGTGGGAAAACAAGGATGGATGACGAATTTTGATTGATGGTAAGGAATGTTTTCTCAGGAGAGATGACCTTTGGGTTGCTCCTTGGAGGATAAAAGGAAGAGCAATGTGGGAAATGGATTTCCAGGCTGAGGGAACTGCAAGATCAAAGTCCCCTAAATTCCCTAGAGGAAGACGCATTTTCTGGGAATGGACAGACAACCAGCTCAACTGAATAGGAAAGACAGACAAAGATGACAAGGGACGAATGGTGCTTTATCACATTTTTGCACCTATGTTTCACTATGTTTCTGGCTTTCATCCTGGCCAGAACTAGTTAGACTCATAGGAAGTTTTTAACACAGTCCTTCTAGGCTGATACTAGTCAAAACACCATTTTTTTTTTTTGAAGATTTTATTTATTTATTTCGCAGAGGGATCACAAGTAGGCAGAGACGCAGGCAGGGGCGGCGGGGGGAAGCAGGGGGAAGCAGGCTCCCCGCTGAGCAGAGAGCCCAATGTGGGGCTCAATCCCAGGACCCTGAGATCATGACCTGAGCCAAAGGCAGAGGCTTAACCCACTGAGCCACCCAGGCGCCCCTCAAAACACCATTCTTATTAATTGCAGATCAGATAGGAAAAAAGACACCAAAACCATTTTATTTTAAATCAAAAAACATTTTTAAAAGGCTTGAGAGGTTCACGTTACCTTTTCCTTTTTCTCTTCGGTGTTTTGGTCCTGGTTATTAGCGATTTTGTTAGCCTTGTTATGCACACTAGGAAGGACCTATGATATCACACACACACACACAAGGAAGGGAAAAGGAATAAAACATTTAAATATCACAATCATTACATTTCCTAATTTTTTAAACAGTTAAAATCTTACTTAACTAAGTCACTAACTTCACCTAAAAAATAAAGACATGAAAAGCAGAATTCAAGGCAAACAATACAATCTGAAAATTATTACAAGCTAGATTACCCAAAATATTGTGTGCATGCATACGTGTGTATGTGTGTGTAACATCGAAGAACCATAAACTCACAATATGTGTAGATCCAGAAAGTGAAAATGAAGATGATGAAAAAGAAAGTCTCAAAACTGACTGTCATCCAAACATCTCATTTTGCAAAAACAGTTTTAGGGGTGACGTATATGAACCCCTCCCTAGAACACAGGAGGCATCATTTATGTGATTTACCTTATTCATCACTGTATCCCAAATCAAGTATATTATCTAGTACACTGTGCACACTCAATAAATATTACACTAGTACTGTTAGCATGAAGATAAACCACAGATCTATTTACATCTCTGGATAAAAGCTCAATGAGAGCTGGAATTTAGTGATTTATCACTATACATAGTACTCAGAAAGAAGCCATTACATAGTTGCACTCAATAAATGTTTATACATGAACAAAATAGTTCCATTTCATAGAAATACTTTTAAGTCTCAACGGTGCCAACAGCATAGATTACTTTTTGACTCATTTCTTTTTACCAAACAATCTATGAAACATCTTGGGAAAATATAAAATTTTTAGTGATTTTTTTTTAAAGGCTCCTCAAATAGCTAACACAAATAATCTTGGCATAGAATCTGATGACAGACATGAGGGTTGTAAGAAAAAAAAAATCTCCTTTCCCAGAAATGTAAAGAAACTGCCTGCCTAGGGGTAATTTTAAAAAACAAAACAAAGCAAAGCAAAAAATACCTCTCTCTATACATGCAATTTAAGATTAAATTTTCTTGGCCTTTAATATAGAGTCTAAAGAAATAAACTTATTTTGGAACAAATGATTAAGTCTCAGAAATGTTTCATTTAAATAAGAAACAACAGAGGCACCTGACTGGCTCAGGTGGTAAAGCATGGAACTCGTCATCTCAGGATCATGAGTTCAAGCCCCACACTGGGCATGGAGCCTCCTTAAAGATAGATAGATAGATAGATAGATAGATAGGAAGGAAATAGTAATAACACATAACATATACTTAATGTTTTATATGTGAACAGACATTGTTAGTGCTTAGTGTTTATTCCTCCGTTTAATACAAATAATAATCCAAGTCCTTTAACTTTGAGACTTTCTGCAAGACTTCAAAAGAAGTCATTTTCAAACACTAACATGAAAGGCCCAAGTTCAAAACCTGGTTGATCTACAGGCATGTATTTCTTGTCCTGAAGAATCTTAAAACAAAGTACTTGGCCTCCCTGGTAAAACCTGTCCACACTGGACCTACCTTCTCCCATGGGAAAAACCGGCTGGAGCTGAAGAGCAGAAGCTCTGGGATGGGACACAACGTCAGCTGCCACTCCTAAGTTTACACTGTTCTTTGAACGGCACAGAAATATATCTCTGTAAATGTACCATTAGCCAAATTTGGAAGGCCAAAGGCTTACCAAGAAGACTGCATCTTTAATAAAAGCAGAAGATGGCATATTTCTTGTGACAGTGAAAATTTTATTTTTATACATTTAGTATGGAAGTGTACACATAAAAGAAGTTTGGGTGCCATTATGAAACCATGGTATTAGGGAAGGACAAATGGAATACATGGGAAAAGAAGGCAACATAGGATAATAAATTTAATGAACTGAAGGGATGATCCCAATTTCAAACAGGTTTGTTTTGGAATGTGGAAGAACAGCATGTGAAATGTACCTATGTTATTAAGTGGGAAATAAATACCCTGGCATAAAAACTTGCTATAGAGGAGTGTAGTATAAATCAGTTCTCTCAAACAAGCACTGGCCAAATAAATCTAAGTGGATACATGCATTTCTTTCTAGCATGCTGAAAACACTACTGAGGAATTGAGGAGAAAAAGCTTAAAAAGGTAATGTGTTGGTGAAATTCCAAAAGCATCTGTTAAAAGTGCAAATATAAAAAAGTAAAATATAACGCAAAGAATTTTTTAAGAAGTACAAATATAAACACCACTGCTCAATTGATGATGTTAATGACAATCTCCATGTGACCAGGGCACTTTAGACATAGGGTCTCCTTGATGGTCCCAATGTTAGAAAATGACTTCTTTTGGGGTTTTGCAGAAAATCTCAATATTAATGTAAAGTGGTCAAAAATGATTAAGCATTTGGCTCTATTTTCTATTTCTGTGATGACCACTATTACTTGCAACAATAAATAAGCCCACGAGAGCGTCATTTTGCAACGATATGAAACTTGATTCCTTTTAACGCGTCATTCAACAGGAATTACTTTGTGTTAAAAAATGGAACAAGTCATGTCCATCACCTGAATGTGCTCCCTTGCCTAGAACCAGAGATAGCTCAATGCTTGATGAACCAAATGCATAATGTGGCAGTCTCTTGTGCTGTATGGGGAATAAGTGACTTGAGCATGGCATGACGCCTAAGAAGATTTTCTTTTTTTGAGCAGTGAAAGAAATTGCGCTGTTTGTGTCACCTGAGTGAAAATTTCCACCTCAACTCACCAGCAAAGGCTGGATTAAATGCTTGCTTGGCCTTTTTGGTTGACTTTATAACCTTTTTTTGCTTTGAATATTTTTTTGGCAGGGCAGTCATAAGTGGCCACATAAGGGTATCAAGTCACCAGCTCATTCTCATTTAAAACTGTTTCTTTGGAAGTACCATTTGGCAAGGAATAACCTGGCCAATTTTCCTATGGAACTCAGTCTCCAGAAATAAAACTGACAGCCTCAACTACTCTCTTAATATTGTAAGAAATAAAAGGTGGATTCCAAAAACGCGGTTTCCAAAAAAAGTGAATTAAAAAGTGGATTCCTCCCAAATTTCAAACTGTATGAAAATAGGAAGACATTATTCAGTTCCCCATTCTCAGGGAGTCTTGACGGTGTAAACACAGCACTAAGACTGGGAAGGTTCATACTGCAACACAGTGTACCCCAGCAGAGCTGCCCCCGCTGGGGAGGGTGACCTTGCAGGACCCTGAGTGCAGGCAGGTTCTAAGTTACATCAAAATATATTGATACCCCCCACCCTCAGGGCAGCCAACCTCTGTTTGCCCAGGTTGCCATACAAGCAACAGGGCTTAGGGGTGATGTTTCTGCTGCATATTGCAAAATAAAGTACAAATCCTGCCACTGACATCTATGTAACAGAATTCTAATTCCATACTGAAAAAATTATTTATTACAGATAAAAGTGTTACAATTAATTACTGCTAGTTTTGAATTCAGGATGTACAACAATGCACCACATTTGCATTTTTATGCTTTTAATAACTATACAGGGCATGGAGGTACCTCTAGGATGTTTTCATATCTGACCCCCTTTATGCTCAAAGTATTTTATAAACAAAGTAACTGACTCAGAAAAGTCAAGTAACTTATCTCTAAGTTAGCAAAGCTGGTCAACGGGGAATTAAGGAATGGAAAACAGGTCTAACTCCATAGCCTGTGACTTATACCAAGGCAGACTGGAATGATTCAACGTTGACCAAAAGACCAAAATCAAAGAAGAAAAAGGAGAAGGTGAAGTTAATAACTAAATTTTTATGAAGTAATGCTTTTTGTAGGTAATAGCAGGATCAAAATGAAAATACGTGGAAAAATAAATGGAGGCAAAAGCTTGGTCCATAGATACAGAGAGAATATTTTTAAATTTTTTAAAAATACCAACTAAAGCTTACTCTTGGAGTGGATGACAAGCTCTGAACAACGAATACCACAGGATTTCCTGCATTCTTAATGGCCTCAACTGCTTCTCTGTGAGAGGCATTCTGCAAATCTACTCCAGACACCTAAAACACAGAAGTGATTTTATTTCAATTAGAAAGGCTCTAGAGTTCATATGTATTATCTAGTGATGAGAACAACCAGAATCTAATGATCTAATGAATTAGACCAAAGCCAAAAAAAAAAAAAAAAAAAAAAAAGGCCCATAAAAAGCTTATTTAAAAACATGTTTAAGGAAAATAACATTTTACCTTCAAGAAAATTGAGTAAGACAAGTATCTTAATAACAATAGCCCTAGTAAAATATAATTATCCAAAATAGGGAGCTCGGTCAGTTGACAGAACCTTAAGCAGCTTCTGAGCTATGATGTCACCTCTGCCACTAAACACAGCACAGAATTCTGAGTGGGGACAGGGGAGCGTGGTCTGGACTCTTCTCTCAAACTGAGAAGTACAATATTTTAAGTAAATTGTCCATTATTTTAATTGAGCAGTTGAACATCTCTCAAATTATGTTTTTTTTTTTTTAAAGATTTTATTTATTTATTTGACAGAGAGAGAGATCACAAGTAGACGGAGAGGCAGGCAGAGAGAGAGAGAGAGAGAGAGAGAGAGAGGGAAGCAGGCTCCCTGCTGAGCAGAGAGCCTGATGCGGGACTCGATCCCAGGACCCTGAGATCATGACCTGAGCCGAAGGCAGCGGCTTAACCCACTGAGCCACCCAGGCGCCCCTCTCAAATTATGTTTAAAAAAGAACTACGAAAATATCCATAGGTTCTTTTTACTGAAAGTGTTCTCTGTTCAGTAAACTGGAGTAAGTCTACATAACTCCTTATCATACAAATTTCAGAGACCCTAACTTGCAAACATGTCCACAATCTCCAAGAGCATTTTCTATTTACCGTATTTAACAGAACCAGTCTTTCAAACTGGTAACGTATCAAAGCCCTGGTAAATGTTGGGCTGGCTTACGGTCAGTGGATAGTGACGATCTGTGAATACTTCTTTGCCATCAGGAGACCAAGCAGGGATGTAGGTGGACAGGGCTGTGGGATCAAGGTTGGCTTTCGTGTTTAAGCTGGGAGGTATTACAGTAACCATGGTGTGGTGGAGGGAAAATGCATGAATCCTTGGACAGTGAAAAGGGAATGACTTCCATGGCACAAGTTAGGGAGATTGGTTAGAAGCACAAATAGTTCCTATGTTCCTATGTTGTTAGAGATACAGATAGAAAAAAGTTTTGGCACACGGTGAGAGCAAGGGGAAGTTCCTTTTTGACTGCCTCTATTTTCTCCATGAAATAAGAAACAAGCGCCACAAACTGAGATTAAGAGGGAGGAAGACAGTTTAGGAGGTGTGAAGGAGTTACCTCTGGAAGGAGGACAGTGAAACAACCAGGGAAATTTTACAGGATTGCAAGGCAGAGCTAAAGACTCTCTTGAGAAGCAGCTTATGAATTTAAAATGAGACCAGACAGCCTCGCTGGTTATTTTCTCCAGCCATGCTAGGGACCGGAAAAAAGCCAAGAGTTGCATTTAACTAGGATGTGGTTTCCCTAGACAAGTTCAGTAAAAGCAATGGGAATCAAGGAGCTGGAAGTGATGGGAATGGTCAGTCAGTGAATCAGAGTATGGTGAGGAGAAAAGCAAGCACGTCCCAAGCTGAGGGACACAGAGCTAAGGGCCAGAAGGTAGGAGACAGGAGCCTGGTGTGGGAGAGGGTTTTTTTGGTTTTGTTGTTGTTGTTGTTGTTTTGTTTTTTAAAGAGTTTATTTATTTATTTGACAGACAGAGATCACAAGTAGGCAGAGAGGCAGGCAGAGAGAGAGGAGGAAGCAGGCTCCCTGCTGAGCAGAGAGCCTAATGTGGGGCTCGATCCCAGGACCCTGAGACCATGACCTGAGCAGAAGGCAGAGGCTTTAACCCACTGAGCCACCTAGGTGCCCTGGGAGAGGGGTTTAAAAGCAGGGGAGTGTAAAGCCCAGTGTAAGAGGGAGGGTGCAGAGAGGTGAGGTCAGGAGGCAGCTGTGGCAAGAACTCTGGCCTTTTATTCTAGCAGACATCCACTGGAAGATTTTAAAATATTTTTTTTCCAAGATTTTATTTATTTGTCAGAGAGAGAGGGAGAGAGAGCGAGCACAGGCAGACAGAATGGCAGGCAGAGGCAGAGGGAGAAGCAGGCTCTCCGCCGAGCAAGGAGCCCGATGTGGGACTCGATCCCAGGACGCTGGGATCATGACCTGAGCCGAAGGCAGCTGCTTAACCAACTGAGCCACCCAGGCGTCCCTGAAAGATTTTAATAAGCTCTGTGAAACCTCTTTTCCCATATGAACCCAGGAAGGATATGAATAACTATAAACCAATACAGAAAAAAATTTTAACTGAAACTTAAAAGCTATCACAACAATCTCGTGAAGCTTCTTATGAATGACCTGATCTCCAAAACATTCAACAGTAAGAGAAGCAGAAGCTACAGAAGAACCATTTCATCTTCCGGATTTCCACAGGGTTAAATGGGAATCATTGAAGTTGGGAAGTTAGGAGAAAAAACAGAATTCTGCTATACTACCACAGAAATATAATCTTAAATTTTTCTCAGCTTCAAATGTATAACCCAGAAGTGTGTTCATTCACACAGGTAAGACCCATTTCTAAAAGTTAAATTAATTGCTAACCTCCCAGGTCAACAAATTCTTCTTTATAAAGACCTAGCTCCTTTATGCAACTGTTTCAAGGCAGAGAGAAGTGATTATTAAGCTTTACTTAAAAACAAAACAAATAAGTGATGCTTTTCACAGGAAAAAAGTAAACAAAATGACTCAGCGTGGTTGACAAAATAAAAAAGTGTTAACATTTCAAATCTGCTATGAGTTTAAAGAAATGATTAAATCTGGGACAAAGCAGTGGGTTCTTATTAGCATATAAGAGTGATGGATTAGTAAGAGAATACTTTGTACTCAATTCACAGCACAGAGAAGTGAGGGGGAAAACATATAATTTAAAAAGATAAAACAATCAACATTACAATTAGAAAATAGGCAAAAGACATGCATAAACATTTCACTAAAGAGGAAATGTACAGATGGCATGGAAAGTTCTTTATCATTAGCCATTAGGGAAACTCAAAACAAGATATCTACCTAGGAGAATGTCCGAAAAATAATGACACCAAATGTTGGTGAGAATGTGGAGAAACCGGATCACTCACATGTTGCTGGTGGGAATGTAAAATAGTACAGCCACTCTGGAAAATAGTTTCCTTCAAAACTAAAAATGGACTTATCATACAACCAGTAATTGCATTTTTGGGCATTTACTTCAGACCAAATGAAGGCTTATTTTCACTTAAGAACTTGTATATCAATGTTCACAGAAGTAATAGAAGTTTTAGTCATAATAGCCAAGAGCTGGAAACGACCCAGGTATCTTTCTTAAATATATATTAAATATTACATGTTATTTATTTATGTAGATTTAAGATTTATTTATTAGAGAGAGAGAGCGTGTGCAAGCACATGCAGTGGGGAGACAGGGGCACAGGATTATTTATTTATAGATACAGATTTAAGATTTATTTATTTGAGACAAAGAGAGCTAGTGCACGCAGTGGAGGGACAGAGGCACAGGAAAGAGAAAGTCCCAAGCAGACTTCCTGCTGAGCGTGGAGCCCAATGTAGGGTGACTGTAAAACCCTGAGATCATGACCTGAGCCAAAACAATAGCCATCACCCAGGTACCCCAACCCATTGTCTTCCAGTGAGCGAATGGTTAAACTCTGGTACCTCTTCCACACCATGGAATATTATTCAGTCACAATAAAAGGGAATGAACTATTGATGGATACAACAAATTAAATGAACTTCAGTGAGATTATGCTGAGTGAAAAAGACCAATCTCAAAAAGATGCAGAATATATAATTCCACTTATGTGACAACTGTGAAATAATATAATTACAGCCATGGAGAAACAGATTAGTGGTTGCCAGAAGTTGGGTATGGGGGGATATGTCAGAGGAAGAGGCTGCAGGGGAGGACACAGGGGAATCTTGTGGTGATCTAGTGGAGTTTCTTTGACTGTGAGGTGGTTATGCAAGGCTACACACGGGATGAAACAGTGGAGAGCTACAAAAACACACAGTTATACATGAGCGCATGTATTACTGGTGAAATTGAAATAAGGTCTATGAATTGTGCCAATATCAGTATTTCAGTTTTGTTATCATACTACAGCTGTGTCACACATTAACACTGGTGGAGGCTGAGGGAGGTTAAGTGTACCTGGGACTTCCTTACACATTTCTTTACAATTTCCTATGATTCTGTTTCACAATAGAAAGTTAAGGGGAAGAAAAAGACCAAACAAAACACAAAATATATATTTAAAAATTAAGTTCAAATATATCAGTAATAAAAAAAAAGAATCAGTGTCATATATTAGATGAAAATTATCAAGGTAGATTTAAATAGAGCAAAATTCAGTTATAGGCTGCTTACAAAACATACACCTAAAACAAAATCATAAGGGTGAAAGCCAAGGGATGAAAAAAACAACGTGCCATGCAAATTCTAAATAAAGGAAACCGCACCTGCCCCAGAAGCCAGAGTAATCCTTTTAAAATATGTATGCACTTGTAATTCTCTAATGGACTCTCACTGCGTTCAGAGAAGGCAACCTTCCAAGCCCTCTGTGATGTAGCTTCACATTACCTCTTAGACATTTTCTCTCCCCACTCTCTTGCTCACTCTCCCTTCCATAACCAATCTATCAGTTGTCATCACCACCTCCACCGCCCTTCCTTCCTCATCTTTCTGCTATCTGCCATAATCGAGCGCTCCACATACTACTTACGTATTATCTATCTTCCCCACTACCATGGAAATCCCCTAAAAGTAGGAATTTTGTTCATTTTCTTCATTGCCATATCCCCGTGTGTCTGAAATCTTTTTGATTTCAAAAACACGAATATAACCTAGTATCTGTATATACAGAGCACTTTTACACAGTTCTTTGCTTTAATCCTCAGAGTGATGCTCTGGGTTTTAAATTCTCATTTCCATTTTATTTCAAAACTGAGAATAAGGTGGGTCTAATAATATGTCCAAGAACAGACAGAAAATAAATAGGGCAATCAAGACTTCAACCTGTGACCTCCAGAGCTCTTTTCATTCTACCAGAACTAAAACACCACAGCTGAAGCTTAGCGTCATAAAGCATGTATCAAGAACCCACAGATTCTAGGGCTGAAGATATTTAATACAATGTCATCCAATAAAGCCAGTGCCAAGAAATGCAGGAGACTCAGACTTCAGGACATTGTCAGTGCCTTGATGTGCCCTAAACTCTGCTCTGCAAGGCCTACCACACATGAACAATGGATTCACCCCTTCCTCCATGGAGTCTGGGAGGATGAGCATGGCTATCCTGACACATCATTATAAAATGTAGAGCTTGTTATAGAGAATATAGTCAGTAATATTTTAACAATGTTGATGGTAACAGACGCTAACCACACTTGCAGCGAGCACTGGGAGCCCCGGGGCACTGGGAGCACTGGGAGCACTGCATAATGTACAGAATTGTCGAATCACTATGTTGTATACCTAGTATGACTGCAAGTTAATGGAACATTGCGTGTCAACTATACTTCAGTTTAAAAGAAGAATATTAGATATTTTTTAAATGATGGAAAAAAATTAGCATTTCTTAAACGCTGTGGGAGAAGCACAAGGCTCACAGGCGGCCTCATTCTATTAAACTGTAAAACTGTATTTTTGGCCAGCTGATCCTTTGTATATGCTGTATGCTGCCACCCCAACTTTAGAATCTCATAAAGTTATATGAACAACATACAAACTAGGGCACCAGAAGCAAATACACCAATTGTATCCACATATACCCTGACAAATGAAGGAAGGACTTCTGGTTAAATGATCACTGTCTTAGAGTAGGTTTCAAACACAAACAGAATTTTAACAGCACTTACCTCGAGTATTTTATCTCCTGTTTTAAGAGCATTTGTTTTTCCCGCTGGACTGTCTTCTAAAACTTGTTTGATAAATATACCTTTCAGTTCCTCTCCATTCTTCAGGCGTTTTATAACAGTTTGTCCACCAACAATACTAATACCAAGAGACACATTGGGTTCTCTAAATATCTCAACACTGTAAAAAGAAAATAAATTCACTTATGAGTAAGCTAATATAATTTGTTGGACTATCACTGTAAGTGTTCGATTTGGACCATATCCCTGTGACTCATATTTTCTATGAATATATTTTTACAAATGTTATCAAAACTGCAGCCAGTTCCAAAATTAGAGGACATTATCAATAATTCATGGCACATATGAAAGCTTGAATTTGGAAAAAGATTTCTAAAACAATAAATACACCTCTTAATATTCAGAGATTTGGCTAGGCCTTAATGTTCCCATGTGTGTATGTGTGTGTGCATATATATATATTTTTTTCTTTTTTTTTTTTTTTTTAAAGATTTTATTTATTTATTTGACAGAGAGATCACAAGCAGGCAGAGAGGCAGGCAGAGAGAGAGGAGGAAGCAGGCTCCCCGAGAGAGCAGAGAGCCCGATGCGGGGCTCGATCCCAGGACTCCGAGATCATGACCTGAGCCGAAGGCAGCGGCTTAACCCACTGAGCCACCCAGGCGCCCCTATATATTTTTTTCTATAATTAGTTCTTTTAATCCACATCCATAACATCAGCAAAGAACGGATGAAGGAAATAACAAATGGATGGGGAGAAAAAAAAAAGAAAGTAGCATGTATCATTTGGCAAAAAGCACAAACTTTCGCAATAAAATAAATTTGTCACCAAAAGGCTTGTTGCCCAAGCGGCTTTTTCCAGTCTGCAGGTTTCACCTGTGGTTCTTAAAGCTGGGGACAGATTTTGCTCTGAAAGATGGCAGATTCTCTTTTTCCTCCCATCTCCACATCACTTTTAAAAATAAAGTATGGAATAAAACTTGCCCTTCAAATGGTTATGAATTTTGCTCAAATGGCACAGATGTGGCCAATGATTAACTGAAATAAAAAAAAGTAGTTCAGAAAACAGCTCCTACGAGTCTTTAAGACAAAACTTGGAAATGCAAGAAGAGAAAAGATCACTTGGGTCCTGGGGGATTAATAACGCATGAAGAATAGGAAGAGCAGCTAGAGGAAGACTTTCCTATTCTGTTAGCTCAAGCAAGGCACAGACTTGCATGAACACAAGAGGAGGAGGCTAGAGATAAGTGAGTACACACCAGAAGCCTCAACTATGGTTGCTGTGTATTAAAAAAAAAAAAAAAAAAAAAAAAAAAAAAAAAAAGGAAGACGTTTTACTGCATTTTAAGGCAGTGATGCAATAGTGATGGTTACTATCATACATGGACATTTGTCAATTACTTTTTCTGAAAAAGTATGATAAAAAACGCTCCATGTAGGGGCGCCTGGGTGGCTCAGCGGTTTAAGCCTCTGCCTTCGGCTCAGGTCATGATCTCAGGGTCCCAGGATCGAGTCCTGCGTCTGGCTCTCTGCTCAGCGGGAAGCCTGCTTTCTCCTCTCTCTCTGCATACTTGTGATCAGAGTCTCTCTGTCAAATAAGTAAATAAAATCTTAAAAAAAAGAACAAAAAAAAAACCTTTCCATGTAATGTTTTTTTTTTTTTCCATGTAATGTTGATTATAGTCATTTTGCTCCACTAAAAATCTCTACATGAGACAAAATGAAACTGAAATTCAGGCCAGCCTCCATGTGAATGATGGCAATTTCTCCATCAGTGCACGTCCCGATGACACTATAAAATTACAGAGCAACTACTTAATTGTGTTCTCCTACTGAGAAGGCCAGTAACGTCACCAACATACATTCTTGGTGGACCCCAGTGGCTAAAGTTTGGCGTTTCTTCTCCTTCACCTTCTTCTCTCTCAGGTAACTCACTGAGGGGAGAGAAAGGAAAAAATATACACAGAACTTGTAAAACACGGTGCTGTAGTAAAGGTTTCGAGAAAGTTTTGAAATTAAACAATCTATATGTAGTTAAATAGGTCTCGATTTTTAAGCTTTTAAAATATTTACATCAATAAAATACATACATCAACTGGAACATTGCTTTAATGTTCAACTCAATAAATATCTCCCACCACCAGAAAATCGTAACTATTATCAACACTTTCATTGGTGATACTCCAGATGCTATTTTCTAAAAATCTGTGTTTGCTTTGTACAATTTCACATTTATTTCTCTATCAATATATAAATATTAGGAAACATATTCCTTAAAACTTAGTACTGGTTGAGCAAAGAGAATACTCCAGCATAAACCAACGTCAGTAGCTGAAATGGCTCAACAGCTGGTAAGCACAATCCCTCTTTCTAGATCTGTCACCTTGGCCCTAAATAATTCCCTTGTCCTTTGTATCCCATGAATGCTTTGTGTCATTATCCATCACTCCACAGTTTGCAGGTAGACTGACTTACGTTAGGTCTCATTCGATCCTCCCAGCTACCACCACACTTTCACCCAGCAAGTTATGTTAGTGTGGAAATCACAACATAAAATATTGAATTACAGAAAAGCTACAATGGTAATGCTATCACACAGCATAAATACATTATCATACTTTATCTGGAGGAGGAGTCAGGAGTCCTAAGCGCCAGCCTAACCGGCACCATGAAATGGGTGTGTGACTCTGGACCACCACATGACATAATAGGTCTGATAGTGTAAACTATATTACTCCATACAAAAATGCAGGCAATACCTATTCCATTTCACTTCACAAAAACCCTCCACCTTGCCATGGCAGCTTGGCCACTCGGGATACTGTTTGCAGACTGGGGGAACACCACCTCCCATCCCAGACCCAGACCCTTCTCTCTGACAAACCAACCAAATAACTTTTGATGTGTTTTATGCTTAAAAAAATTCATGACCTACAAGTACTGCAGGTCATACTACTATACTTTTCACATGAGGAACTGAGGCTTACAGAAGGCTCCTACACAACCTCTTCACAGTATCCGAATCTTTGTTGCAAAACTCAGTTTCTATGCTGCATTCTTCTCTGAACTCTCAAATAAGTTCCATAAAAAGTAATAAAACTCCACCTACTTGCTTCTACATACAGACTTTCTAGAATACAATGGTTTACAGCTGAGTGAGAAAGAGAAAACTGAAAGGATCTAGACTATCTAAAAATCAGTTAAGAAATTGGGATCATGGGGCTCCTGGGTGGCTCAGTCGGTTAAGCATCTGCCTTCGGCTCGGGTCATGATCTTAGTCAGGGTCCTAGGATCAAGCCCTGTGTTGGACAAGACCCGTGTAGAGAGTCTGTTTCTCCCTCTCTTCCTCTGCCCCTCGTGCTCGCTCTCTTTTTCTCTCTCAAATAAATAAATAAAATCTTAAAAAAAAAAAAAAAAAAAGGAGTTGGGATCGTTAGAGGTCATTAGCATCTCAGATGGTTTTCCTGCCTCAGCCAGGGTATTTTTTATAATTAAGAGCATCACGATATTCAAGGAAAAAGAGCTTGGCTGGTACTTGCCAATTACTTATCTGATGTCCTCTCCCTTCTTCCTCACCAACATAATCTCTTTTATTGAAGGTGGCACTATGCCCAGCTTTAAAGAAATACATTTTCTGAACTTCCTGTCAGCTAATGGTAACTGGGTGCTACAGTTCTGAAATCAAAGTAGAAGTCCCTAGAGATTTCCAGAAAAACTCATTAAATGGAAAGAAGCCTTTCGTAGGACCTTCCTTTTCTTCTTGCCAAGAAGGCAGAGAGACCACTGGTGGTGAAGGATCCATTTTAAAATCATGAAGAGACAATGACTAAAGCAATACATTAAGAACAGCAGAGCAGAAAGGAAGAAGGTGTTTAAGACCCTGACAGATCACCTTCTTTAGGGGTTTTTACAGGAAAAAAATTAAGGCCCTGTTTGGTTAAGTGACATTAAGTGGATTTTTGTTTATAAGTAGCGGAATGCAATCCCTAAATGATACCCATGATTCTACCAAATTAAGCAAAGTTTTCATTTCATCACATTACGTTATTCTTTGCACATGTGCATATAGGTTTCTCGGATGGTTGTTAATAGCAGAAACTTTCGTATTTGATTACCCTATGTAATAGTAAGAATTAAATGATATATGACTGGCATTTAACTGAGGCTTAATGTTCATTTCCTTTATAATTTTTTTGAATTTGTATCAAAATTTTCCCCATGTATTATAATCATTTTTTAATTAAGAACATCTTAATAGCCCATGCTATTGACGGAATTTATCTGCTGTCTCGAATATGATACACTGACATTATATCCTGTTTTCTGGAATATGGACATTACTGCAGGGACTATCTTCATGCTGTTATTTTTTTTATTATTATTTTTTAGATTTTTTTTTTTTTTTAATTTTAAAGAGAAAGAGAGCACACACGAGTCCAAGGTGGGGTAGAAGGAGATGGGGAGAGAACCCTCAAGCAGACTCCACACTGAGCGTGCGGGGCTCAATCCCACAAAACCAAGAAGCAGCCGCTTAATCGACTGAACCACCCAGGCAGCCCACTCTACTATATTTTAGAATTCCCCTTTAGATAAATATTAATTGAAGTCTATAATTAAAAACCTGAAAATCAAACCAACACTGAAACCCTCCTCCTTTCCATTTTCTACTGTCCTATATCCCAAATCATAGTAGGTGTGACAATAAGAAGTAAACATTGGGTTTCTGTCCCTGGTTCCAGATACTGAGCTTCTAAAACCCTTAAATTTCTCAAGTGACAGAGGTGACAGGATCATCTTTTGTTATTTTTAACAAACCCTTTTCAACCATACCTGAGTTTATTGTGCTAATAAGGTAACGTTTGGTGAGACCCTACTTGGCCCCAGGATAGGGTCCGGTGGCCAGAAAAACAACTGTATGATTAGGTAGCACCTTCAGTCCCACCCTCCCCTGGGAAGAGGAGAGGAGCTAGAGATGGAGTTCAATCACCAATGGCCAATGACGAAATCAATCAATCATGCTCATGTAATGGAACTTCCATAAAAACCCCTATCATAGGACTCAGAGAATTTTCAAGTTGTCATATACATCAAGGTATTGATGTACTGGCTGGGAAGGGGCTGCACTCAGGAAAGGCATGGAAGCTCTGTGCCTCCTCCACAGCCCCCTCCCCTCCATACCTTGCCCTATGCATCTCCTCCATTTGGCTATTTCTCAGTTGTATCTTTCATAATAAACCAATAAGTAAGTAGGAAGTAAAGCACTTTCCTAAGTTCTGTGAGCCATCCTAGCAAATCATCAAACCTGAGAAAGGGATCATGGGAACTCCCAATTCGTAGCTGGTTGGTCAGAAGTACTGCTGGCAACATGGGACTTATGACGTGCATCTGAAGTCAGGACAGTTGTGGCACTAAGCCCTTAGACTATGCGATTAGTGCTAACTCTTGAGTAGCTAGTGTCAGAATGGAATCGAATTTTAAGATACTAGTTACTGTCCAGAGAATCAGTAGTTGGGCAGAGGGGAAAACTCACACATTTGGCATCAAAAGTGTGAGTAAAATAGTTCAAAAGAGGCATTAAGAAAAAAAAAAAAAAAAAAACCCCACATAGGTATTTTTACTACTGTACATGTCTGCTACTATTATTCAATTTTTAGAAACCTAAAATAAAATGGAAACCAAGTTTTAACATTAGTATGGACTGTTACTTTCTCCATTTAAAAAAAGGAAAACCAGGGCGCCTGGGTGGCTCAGTGGGTTAAGCCTCTGCCTCCGGCTCAGGTCATGACCTCTGGGTCCTGGGATGGAGCCCCATATCAGGTGCTCTGCTCAATAGGGAGCCTGCTCCCCCCACCCCCGCCTGCCTCTCTGCCTATTTGTGATCTCTATCTGTCAAATAAATAAAATCTTTCCAAAAAAAAAGGAAAATCAAAAATTTTCAGAACAGCTGGCTTTCACATACAACTAAAGGGAGAAAGAAAATACTGTCTTGAAGATGCAAAATTTTAGTTTTTTGTTTTTTTTTTTAAATATTTTATTTATTTATTTGACAGAGAGAGAGAGAGATCACAAGTAGGCAGAGAGTCAGGCAGAGAGAGAGAGAGAAGCAGGCTCCCCGCTGAGCAAAGAGCCTGATGCGGGGCTCGATCCCAGGACACTGAGATCATGACCTGAGCTGAAGGCAGCGGCTTAATCCACTGAGCCACCCAGGCACCCCAAAATTTTAGTTTTGATACTGTAACAAAAGGATTATTCTGTTGGAAGAAACTCCATGATTTTTTCAAAGCACATTGTATTTCTTTAGGAAGTTTACCCATATTTTATTCAGATTATTTCATACCTAGAGAGAGAGAAAATTTGCAAAAGCTTAGGGGTACCTGGCTGGCTTAGTCAGGGTAGCAAGAGAATTTTGATCTCAGGGCTGCGAGTTCAAGCCCCATGTTGGTTGTGGAGATTACTTAAAAATAGAATCTTTAAACAACAACAATAAAACAAAAATAAAAATAAAAATAAAAAACAAACAAACAAACAAACAAAAACATCTTTCAAAAGCTTATCCAGATAGTGTGATTTGTTTGGGAAATACAATCCCAGGAGATGAGCAACTATACAAACTAATGTGGTCACTTTACATGCATGACTGCAACTATTTATTTATTATTTTTGATTTTTTGAAATTACTTATTTATTTTTTAAATTTTATTTTTTCAGTGTCCCAACATTCATTGTTTATGCACCACACCCAGTGTTCCATGTAACATGTGTCCTCCTTAATACCCACCACCAGGATCAACCAACCCCCCACACCCTCTTCTCCAAAAAAAACCCCTCAGTTTGTCTCTGAGTCCACAGTCTCTCATGGTTCGTCTCCCCCTCCGATTTCCCCCAATTCACTTTTCCTTTCCTTCTCCTAATGTCCTCCATGTTATTCCTTACG